AGTTACGATTGAACTGATTGTCTTTTACGAGTGTTCTCAATAATATGATTTATTGCGTCCGATTACAAAGGCGACATTTATTGTTTCGGAGAAAGTAACTCTAATTGTGAGTCTCATCCATGCAATATAGAAAATATTTTTATTAGTGTCGACACACTTTTTAACAGTTTTATATCCTGATCATTAATGTTGAACATTCATTCTATTATTATAACCAACTTTACATGAATAAAAGATTCTAAATTTGAATGTAAAGTACATTACATAGTTTTAATTATAATTGTTGTTATTGTTAAATTGTACCTATAATTCTAACGATTCTCTTTATAACCGAAAAGATTTACTCTCTTATTGACCTGATTTCGTTCAATCTTAAACAATAACTTTAATATATTATAGCCAGACAGTATTATAAATTTATATTTCGTCTCTCTTTGTGCCCATAACAACCTATGTAGCGTAAAAAGTCAGCGGAAGCCATATATTAGTACTGCGTTAAGCGTTTACAATGTTGCTATCGTTATATGTATGGTTGGTTCCAATAAGAGCATATTAGAATATATACAGTAGTTACTCTAATCATTCGCAAACTTTAACTGCCTCACGGTGTTCATTTGAAATTTTTAATTCGTTATGATTGACAATTGCCGTTGTTCTTATTAAAGTTTTTTTTTTTACGCAGGTACAATATTGATAACAGTCAGTCGATGAAAATGTAAGAGAATGTGTCTGTCTCTTTGATGGTTTTTTTATTATTAATTTTTAATATTAACAATGACAGTAAACTAAAAATAACCTATAATAGACAACTTTTTAGTTGGCTATTATAGGGATGTAAGTTACATTTAAGGTGACTTACTTAAAAGTAATTTCCGCCTCTGTTAAAGGAATTACAAGACAACAATGACAAAATAACAAAATATTTTATATAAATAAATTCCTAATAATTTTCTTTACCAATTTAATGTACCTTACTGAACAAATGTACCTTTATATGTATTTGTTAATATTTCTACTTTATTAGAGATTACTGGGGTTAATATGTTTCTTTAATTCATTAATAAGCATTGCAAGAAGGCTTTGAAGGAGGCCTTTGTCTTCAGACAAGAAAGGGGTGACAACATAGTTATTGATTGAACATTAATTATTGTTAAATTATTTATTATGGTGCTTTTTAAATAAAGCCTTATATTATTATTAATAAGCATAATCTTTCCTTTTAATTTTTATTTAAATGTACAAGGCGGACAATAATGCTATTGTTGTCATGTCATTTATTTTCAAATATTTAATTAAACCCACGTATGACTTGCATCAAGAGCCCTAAATATAAAGGTGTCTGACTTAGGTGTGTTTTTTGTATTGTGCATGTTCATTATGTGCTATTGTTTTCTTGAGTTTATAACAACCTGAATGGAATTAAACTGACAGGCTGTATATCCAACGTATATTTTAAAGTCGTTTGCTATACCTACCTATTTGTAATTGCCTATAATATCTACATTGAAATATACATTATAATTATGATATTTTAATCCAAAAGATTATTATAGAATCAACATATTCAACAGATCATGTTGATCTACAATATCCGGTTAATTGTCATTAATAATTTATGTACTTACCAGATAACATGTCATGGCAGCAAATAATCTTTTCCCACGAGAAATAGGATAATGCTATAATCTCGACACTTGCAGTGTTAGTTTACATGTTTTAATGTACTATTACTTATTAAATTGAAATATGAAATTCAATAAAAGGCTTGAATATTCAATAGGTATCAGGTTGAGAAAAAATATCTACGTGGAAAAAAATATCATCAATGTGCAATGAGTGAGTTCGTATGGTTGTTAAAAATAATTAATTGGTTAATTACTATAGAAAATTGTTGCGAACAAGTTAAGGCACTTCAAGTTTGTCATTTTTTTATATTAAAGCACAACATATGAACACATTATCTTGAGTGAACACAAGTATTATACTTATATCGTATATACTCGTAGTCCATGAATACGATATTATTGATACTCGTCAACAGCAACATTGCTGTATTAATATATTGTCGTTTAAACAGGCAAACCATTCCTTTAAATAATTCGTGTTACAGTTTAACAAATGATATTGATATAATGAGAACTAAAGGCGTTAGCTTAAAAGTAATTTTTCTGATTACTTCGTAGAAGGAGTATCTAGTTGGTATATTTTTCAATGTTTTAAAAATTCGAATCGCGTCGGAATGTGTAATTTTTAAATCCTGTCTATGTCATAGCTATCTAACCTTTGAAATAAATTTAAATAAATAAATTATAAAAAAAAAACATACCCATTAATAGCAAAAATGCCTATTGCTTATTGATATAGAAGTTCTTCTCTATTTCTCATTGTAATAATTATACTACACATATAGTGAAATGCTCATTTTACAAACTGTATCACGGATTCGGTTCTTGCATTACAATTATACAAAATTACAAATAAACGAACTTTACTATTTTAAACGAAGAAAGTCACGGCCCACGGTTGGAGCTGTGATTAATTAACTGTAGGTTCACGAATACATTATCTGAGCTAATTGTCTATTCTGAGGGAGGCACGATTTTGTAGATTTAACCGATAAAAAAAGTTCATTAGCATAGATCTTGAACGGGATATTGTAAGTTTAAATATTGATGAAGAAGGTATAGCTGTGGAATAAAAGTCTATTTTATTGCAGGCTTTTACTGTATTGTACTGTGGCTGTGACTTAGTCCACGTAGCCAAGATAAAAAGTACCTAGCCTATGTTATTCTCTTTTCTGTGCCACATAATTATTTTGGTAACTTAAATTTCATGAAAATTGATTCAATTGTTATAGAACAAAGAGGTAACACATCCATGATCACGTATTGTATAATATTGGTAAACATTCAAAAATTAATAAATTTTTGACAACTGAAACTTTTTGCAAAGCAAAATCTACTTCTAATCTGCTATAAACATATGAATCCTCATTCAAAATTAAAATTTAAGGTATGATTTATCAGTGTTTATGAAATTCGGTATGCGGGTAAGTTACGAGTATATTCCAACTTAGTATATAGATTACGTTACATACCGATTCTCGTAGGGAAAGCTGCGAGAAATAGCTAATTGTAATTAAAGTAATCTAAGAAATTTTTATTTTTTTTCCGTAGCAAAAATATCTTGTCAATTAAAAGCTTTTGCATTTTATATAATGTAACATAATGTATAAAGAAAATGTATAACAAACGAATTTAGAGGCATATTGAGTTGCAATTTGAAATGTTTTTAAGTCGAAGCCCTGCAATAAAGATACTCGTTTTATGTTGAACAATATTTACCGTTTTTTTCCTTGAGGTTAGAGAGCTTAAGGAAATTAATCACTGAACTCGAACCGAGCTCATATCTACCTGAATTAAATCAGTCTTCGTATTTTCGAGAACAAATTTTATGAATAAAAGTTTTAAATTTATAATATTATAACTGATCTGTAGAGGGTTTTATAATACTTTTTATTTGAGTTTCGCAAAATTCAGTACAAACACTCATCAAATTTCAAAGTTTTAGTTATATAACAAATCTTAAGGGACCATTTTTAAAATATGGTTACTGTTTTAAGTTATCGTAGCATGATTACTATCACGACATAATATCATAACAAGGTATATAGTAGTATGAAGATACGCATAATCATGGCTAGATACTTATTTATTAAAATTATTATATTCTCTGTAAGGAAAAAGTATCTTCTGGAAAAGCAATCATAAATTACATACCAAGTTTTAGTTTCAAAAATGTTTCTATTTTTTTAAAATAAAAAAAAATTCATCCTAAATGCATTATTATTCACTGGAAATACAAACTTTGACAATGTCAAGTTTTAGCGTGAAGCGTAAATAGCTTGACAAGTTGACAGACAATCTCAATATATTTGGAAAATATGTAAACAATTATTATATAATATATTTCAAAGATATTAAAAAGAACGTCTGTTCAGACACAGTAATAACTTTTTTTACTAGAAAGAAATTATGAAACTGTAAATATATTTTTAATTTTCTCTGAAAAAATTACAAGAAAAAGTTATACCTATTATTATAATTTGTTTGAAGAAAGATTTTTTTTTCAATTAAACAAATAATAAATGAAATCAACTGTAAAACATATTTTGTTATACATGAGCGGTCGGTTTGTTTGCTATTTCAACTAGTGTATTGTACTTTATTCCATAGTCGGCTTTTACGAGATTTTTGGTGATGAAAAGAAATAATTACGCATTAACTAAACTAACTACATCACCATACCATAATATATATAATATTATAGATGCGAAAATAACACTGTTTTTACATTTTTACCTCTTAATCTGCTCATATTTTAAATATTTTGATACAAAAAAGATTAGACTTTGAAAAAGGATATAAGCTACAAAAATAGTTTAGTTGCAAAAATAAATCTTGAAACGGGTAAAATAGGAAAAATAAGTTTAAATATATATATTATTTACTGCACTCGAACAAAAGATACAGCGATTAGTTTAATAACTTGTTAGCAAGGGTGGACTTATCTCTAAAAGAGATCTTAAAAATTTGTATGAAGAATCAATCATTTCTCAAATAAAATATAAAATTAAGTCAGTTCAGAGGGAGACTTTGTACAAAAGTCGAATGCTTGGGTACCTCTGTCCCATTCGTATTTCTACCAGTGAAGCAGTTGTGTTTGCATGGCTGTGTTTCGGTTTGAAGGGTGGAGGAATATGGCGTGAATTTACAGGGTACAAAGGAATAACATCTGAGTCCTCAGGAATTGCAACGCATGGGGGGTATCATAGTATACTCTGTTATGTCCATGGTGCTGCTCATGTCTATAGGCGACGGTTACCACTTTCCATCAGGTGGGCCGTCAGCTTGTTTGTCATTCTAAGTTATATAAAAAAAAACATGCAGGTGAGGTCATGGGCATTAGTTAGTTTATTATAAAATATAAATCCAACATACCTGTCAGTCACCGGGGTAAACCCGGCATTTTTCTTGCCACTCGTTAAATTCTCCACTTTTAACACTACACACACTATATCTACTTAAAGTTAGTTACATTCTAATTATTGCATTACTATGTACTGGCACTTACGACATAATTATTATTACTTTCGATTTACACAAGTGAAGCGGCGTTGTAACTTAGACCTGTAACAAAATAGATGAGTTGTATCAACGAAGTTCTTTCGCAATAATAAAGGGATAACAACATTTGCATGTGTATAAACCGCAAAGTAAAATTAGAATCTATATTCATCATCAAAGTGGTGCTCTGCGGTTATTTTTAATCAAAACAAATTCATTTTAAATATTGTATACGATACAAAGGAACATAATTGAATGTTAGGAACAATGAGTTGGCCGCGAAATCAGCTCAGTTCACCGATAACATTGATGTTTTTCAGTGTTGAACTAATCTCAAAGGCCCATCGCTAACTTATGCTACAAAAAATTAATTTATTATTATTACTATTTATAACTTTCTTGGTTAAGTAATTGTAAATAAATTTATTAATTATTAGTTATCACTCGAAAACCTTTCTATTTGTTTGCCAACTTATAGTTGCGGGAAGTATATAGTTTTGATTTTGTAATTAAGTAGTTAGTTAATATTTGAGTTTTTTGTATACAACTTAAAATGCAAGCAAGCTGACGCCCCACCTGTTGGACAGTGGTAACTGTCACCTACAGACATGAGCAGTACCATGGACATAATAGAGTATACTGTTTCGCCCATGATACCTCCCCATGCGTTGCCATTCCTGAGGACTCAGGTGTTATTCCTCTGTATCCTGTAAATTCACAACATATCCCACCCTTCAAACCGAAAAATACAGACACAAATATAAAATAAACGAGAAATACAAACCGAAACACGTCCATGCAAACACAACTGCTTTACGGTTAAAACACGAATGGGACAGAGGTTCCCAAGCAAACGACGTTTCCTCTGGTGTTTTGATTTTATATACTGTTAAATTAATTATTTTGGATAATACTTGTATTATTTGCTAATTATCTCTCTATTTTACAAGTAATTATTTTCAATGGACTTCAAAAATAAGAAGTTTCTTAATTCGGCTGTATTATTATTTTTTATACCACTGAGGTGGCAAACAAGCATACGGCCCACCTGATGGTAAGTGGTTACCGTAGCCTATGAACACCTGCAATACCAGAGGTATTACGCGTGTGTTGCCGACCCTGAAGAAACCTCTTTACCCCCCTTTTGAAGAACCCCATGCTGTAGTCTCTTGGAAAAACCTCGGCAGGGAGCTCATTCCACAACCTGAGTGTTCGTGGGAGGAAACATCTCTGAAACCGCGCAGTACGCGACCATTAAGACTGTAGGACATGAAGATGAACTTCCTGTCGATGGCGAGCCGTACGATAGTAGAAAATGGCTGTGGGCATCATATTGAACAATTCCTCTGAGCACAATCCAAATGTCCAATTTTTTATGTTTGTTAGCTTATGACTCGACTAGTTCTAAACCGATTTGGAAAATTATTTTTTATCTGAAAGGACATATTACAAAATATCCATTAGGTAGTAGTGGCTAGACATTATATATTATATACAATAATGGCTGACCATTATTATATAATGACTATTTAGTCAAATTATCTACATCAATAAAACAAGTATACATCCTCATTCTTTGAGCGAAAAATGGATTAAATTATAATTTTAAATAAAATATCAACAATATATTTATAATCAATATTATAACAATATCCCTTTATTCTACAGCCTATTTATAGAATAAAATATCTCAATTCCTTTATAAGTGATCCTTTAATAATTGTAAAATCCCCGAGAAAGCTTGAAGACCTCTGTAATAATAGGTCTCGACCTAGTTTAGACTCCTTGTAAAAGACAAGGCCAGACTTAAAGGTATAAATTGTTTTTCTTTATTCTATATTATTTATGGTTTTACTTTTAAATATAAATAATGGTTTTCAACAGGATTAGAAATTTTATTTTATAATAACCGTATTTTCGAAATTCCTATGGGAATGGGAGTATCAAATTCTGGCGAGCGAAGCCGCGAAAAATTAGTAATTATAATTTCCTACAAAAAAATATTTACATGACCACAAACCTAGTTTGGTTTGCGGTCAATGTTGTACTATGATATAGTTTTGTTTCAATCATATAATTTTAATATTAAGTTGCAGACATGTGGCAACAATGTGCGTATTGCTACATTCGTACCCTTGCCCTTGGGACACAAAATGCACGGTCATTATATACTGGCAGCTTGAGTTACAAATGCAGTCATTCAAAATGTAACGACGTCCGAAAGTAACTCTTATAACATTTGTTTAAAGTCTATATTGGTACCAAAACGTATCAGATGCTCGTTGCAATGAGTTAGCTAGACTGTCTGAATGTCAAACCAATATTCGGCAACGACTACTGCACCAAACCAATAAAAAAATAATTTATTCGAGTCTGAGTAAATAAGATGATGGCGCGAATTGTAAATTTGTGAGTAAATTTAATATAAGCCGGGGACGATTTAAACATCCTTTGTATTGGATCACTTGGGAAACAGCCAGAAAAAAAACGTTAAGTCGTTAATTTTGTATTGTTTGTTTACGAAATTTAGGGAAGTAAGTACCTACTCGTAATTATAAAGGATAAACCAGCAAAAACATTGCAAAATAATAATGTATTAGGTATTAACTGTATAAGAATACACATTAATTTTATTAATAATGATGAGTTGCACTAAATGAAAACCTTTTAAGGAGTGACGCAGCCTTTTTTGACTTCTAAGCATTAAAAATAAGATAACTATTCTATTTTGTACTAAAATGTATCTACTACTTTATCAAAGCTATTTTTGATATCTACTCTCAACTCAAATAATCAATCAAGAACAAATATTAAAGGAAGAAAATGTATTTAATAAAAGAATAAAACTATAAGTAGTACATAATTTTAATAACGATACATGCATAGTACTAATATTATCAATTTACAAGTTTGAAATGATGTTTGGATATAATGTATCCAAAAATCTTTCCAAAAGATCTTTTTAAACCATCATTGACAGCTTAACGTATTTGAATAAAATTTAATACAGAAATGAACGATATTTTATATTATCACCAAACATATAGCCGTGTGGTTCCGGTATAGAACAGGCCACCCTTTCCTTTCATGTGGGTGTCGTAAGAGGCGACTAAGGGAACTTAATGGTAGAGAGATAGGCAGCAATGTCCCTCTAAAAACATCTCTAAAAGCGGTTGTCAACTCGCGTGCCAAGCATGGCAACTACTGGCAAAACTCTCCTTATGGAGAAGGTTTATGTTCAGCAGTACGTAAGTTACTGGCTGAACTGGTATAAAAAAGTCCTGTACCTACTAATAGCATAAAACAAACAATCCGCCACAAACTAAAGTTCCATTACAACCATATGAATGAGTGGCAGTCCTCCACTGTGTGTTTTTAAGGCACTTTGTTCCACGCACAACCATTCTTTGGAATCAACTTCCAGCGGCAGTATTTCCGTACTGAACAACATCATAACCTTCAAGAAAAGAGCATATTCTTTCTTTAAAGGCCAGCAGCATACCTGCATTGCCTCTGGTGTTGCGGATGATTAAGGGCGTTAGTGGTCACTTACCATCAGATGGGCCGCATGCTCGTTTGCCCCTGTGTTATAAAAAAAATCTCACCTGATAAAAAGGCTTGTTAGAGATGCTGGTAGTCCACCAGCCCCATTGCTAGAAACATAACCCGGTAGATTAACCTTTCTACAGTTCCCACTGGAAACCATCATACTGGACTCCAGGTGTATTTATGATCATTTTTTATTCTCAATTATCATCCTTCAATGGTGCCCCTCCGGCCTATACCGTTAACGTAGGCGGGGTTACTATTCCATTAGCATCTATTAAAAAAAAAACTGTCGCCCATAGACGTCAGCTATATCTTACAACTGTAGACGTCACAGAAGCCTGGCCGCCCATATAAATTGTCTATTACAATAATTATTTCACATAACTATTAATCTTACTGCTGCATACCAAAATTTCTATTGTTCTCTAAAGTTGGCTGGGAAAGAATTCTGTTTAATATTAAATCCGCCTTATGCACCATGAATTCTAAGTAGTCAGTAAAGTTATTAAATAAATAAATAGGTATAAAATTTACAGTATTTGAATACTGCATATTTTATGTGTGCTTTAATATTTATTCGTGTTGGTTTACGTGTTATACAAATTACTAGCTTTTGCTCGCGATTTCGTACGTGTGATTTTTTTAGAAGTAGCAATACCAAAGAAATAGTTCACTCTAAAGATTATATACCGAAATAAAGCATACACCGATTTTTAAATATAACCATCAGGAATAGAAGTGATGCCGGAACAAACATATAGACTGGTAGACAGAGAGGTAGAAATAATGTAAAGTTATTTTAAACACAATTTAAAGTAACACAATTTTAACAACAATTTAAAGTATGGGATATTAGTGGATAAACAACTAAAGTAAAATAATAAAGAATGGTTTTAATATAGGTTATAATATTATATATATTAAGAGGTAAAATGGATGCAATCAAATTTGATAAAATAATATTGTATTGCTACTTACTTACGGCAGTCTATAGAGGTCTATATTCAGCATAGAACAGTAACGATTGATATGATGACGGTGAGTAGTTGCCACTAGGTTACCAGTATATACACACAAATGAAAATAAGAAAAAAATTCGCAAAAAAACTTTCCTGTTTAAAATAATAGTTTGATTAATATCAGAAAATGTGGGTAAAACAAAAATATCAAAGAGTAATGAGAAAACACTAGTGATATATTTTATTTGAATCTAGTGACACAGAATAACATAATGGAAGTATGTCAGAGACGAATAAAAATGTGATTCGCTTGAAACACGCGACGGTCGGCGCACTCAATCGATTCTTAGTTAAATAATCATTTATTGCATTCATCACTGCTCCAATAGGTGAAATATATTGTACTCGAGTGTCTGAAATAGCAATAGTTAATATGTATAGGGGAAATATCGCACGTTTTTCTAATAGGAATCTATGCGCCAAACGTAACGAAGGTCGCATCGGGACGTAAATCTAGTGAGGCATTGAACTATGAAACGTAGCCGGAAGCCGGGG